AATCAAAATCAGTGTAACAATAAATTTTAGATTTATGTTGTGTAAACAATGATAATTTTTTATCTTATAAAGCTTCATTAGTTATGAACACACACATACAAAAACGTGAACACATTCTCTCCACACTTATGATTTAATACATATTATATAATTCACTGATAAATACCATATATACACAACGGTGCTGAAAATTTTCCATTATTGTTACTATAATAACATAAAAAAGGTAATTTCTTGGGCATAAATTCCACAAATAAACTTAAAAAAGACCCAACATACCATTGCCTCACTCTTCAAACTGTCGTTTTTGATCAGTTTGTCAAGAATGGAAGCAACTTCATGGGGCTTGTCCAGGTGGATCAAGCACTGACACATGTTCACATAGTCAGGAGTTTCCAAGCCCTGGTACAGAGAGACAAGCTCCTCTAGAACTTCATCACGGAATTTACGCTGCTCAATGTACTGCATGGCAATCTTGTAAGAGTATGTTAGACTTCCCACAATATCATCCTGGAAGAAGAAAATAAATTTAATTAAGTTAAGCATGAAGTACATCCCAACTCCTTTTCAATTCTGGATGATTTGCTATAATTCTCTTTTCACTTCTTTCTCACAGAGGTAATAGTAATGAAGTATATAAAAATTTTAACTGGTAGAAATTTCAAATGTAACACAAAGCACAATCTGAAGTAAGATTCAAGAATAAATTGATGATGATGCTTCAAATTTTGTGACAGTATCTTACTAATCACAGACAAAGAAGAAATTCACAATATCCATTTGATGAAACAAAACTGAATACAAAAGCTTTGTTTATCTAATTATGGCCCTAACTGAATGGCTAATAAGTGCTAATAAATGTAATATTTCTTAAAATTCAATAAATATCTCATCAAAACTCTCTGCTCAACTTACAGAAGTCATGATAGCTTCTCGGAACCAATCCATGCGGTGAGTTTCGAGCGCAATGCCAATGGCGTGGCGGTACTGCTGGTCAGTGATGCAGCGTTTGAACATGTTGTTGAGCAGTTCTTCTAATCTGGCATCCATCTTTGCATCTTTTTGTGCCCTCAGCTTGATGTAATGGTCAATGGCATGAACTGTAAGAGAAAATTAGTTAGTAAATTAATTTACTGGAAGAAGAAGGAGAAGAAGAAGAAGCAGAAGGAAAGGAAAAGAAAAAGAAGGAGAAAAAGATTCATGCAAATAAAATTTTATCATGAACACCATTCATCTTACGGCAGCATTGCACAAAACCCACCTTTGATTGTATCTATGTAGAGCTGGTTTCTATCCTGATGCAGCATTGGACCTGATCTCAATGCATATGTGAGGGAGTCTAAATAAGATCCTAAATGAAAGTAAACTTTGGATACAACAAGAGCAGCCAACTCTCGCTTTGGAAATTCGCCATTTTCTTCAAGCTTTTCACTGAAAAGAGAGGAGGAATATAGTTTTTACAATGCAGGAACAGCCATTTATAGGTAATCTTATATATTTGTTAATGTGCAGAAAATACAAATTTGCATATTTTTCTACTTCAAAATTTTCGTAACAATTTCTGTAAATTTTCAAACAATTTCTATACTTCATTTTTCTTAATTCATGTTGCTCTTCAATATATGACAATACATACAAATATCTATGGAGTTAACTGGATTTTTACACTATTTTTTTCCTCTTAAGATGGGTATCAAAATGTCTAAAACTTCATGCATCAACTAATTAATATCAACATATATATACACATACATATATACAAATATATAAGCATATAAGAATATACGTATATAATTATATACGTATACAAGTGTGTGCGTGTGTGTGTGTGTGTGTGTGTGTGTGTGTGTGTGTGTGTGTGTGTGTGTGTAAGTATGTGTGTGTGTAAGTATGTGTATGTGTATAAGTATGTGTATGTATATAAGTATAAGTATGTGTATGTGTATGTATATAAATATAAGTATGTGTATGTGTATAAGTATGTGTATGTGTATAAGTATGAGTATGTGTATAAGTATGTGTATGAGTATGTGTATAAGTATGTGTATGTATATAAGTATAAGTATGTGTATAAATATGTGTATGTGTATAAATATGTGTATGTGTATAAATATGTATGTGTATAAGTATGTGTATGTGTATAAGTATGTGTATGTGTATAAGTATGTGTATGTGTATAAGTATGTGTATGTGTATAAGTATGTGTATGTGTATAAGTATGTGTATGTGTATAAGTATGTGTATGTGTATAAGTATGTGTATGTGTATAAGTATGTGTATGTGTATAAGTATGTGTATGTGTATAAGTATGTGTATGTGTATAAGTATGTGTATGTGTATGAGTATGTTTATGTATACATATACATATGTATATGTACATGTGTATATATATAATGTATAATACATACACATTGATAATAAACATATATCTAAGTGTATATATGTGAACTTAATATTCAAGGTCATAACTTACATTTTCTGGATAGAGTCTGCAATTTCTGGCCAGAAAGTATCTGTTATCTCATTGAGTCTCTCCAGTGCAAACACTCGTAACTGATCTTCATTCTCATCCAAGAGGGCTAGGATGCCCGCTGAAAAATTAAAAAGTTGTCATTTCCTTCCTGTAATGTTTGGTCACCATATAAGAAATTAAAAAGGAGGAAGATGAGGGGGTGTGGATGATTTCAGGTACAATTCCTTTACTCGCAACTAATGATTAATTCATCATCTGATATTAAAACATAAACAGTACTTCATAGCACTTTACACTTTTTTTTCTATTCTCATAAAAACTGGACTATTTAGCAAAAATAAATAAGGATTTACATCAAATCAGCAGTACAGCTTGATTCACATTGCAAAAGACACTTGCCAGAGCACATCTAACTCCATGTCCCAAAATCTATTCATGAATCTAAGTTGTTGTCTTGGCATGTCCTTCAGGCACTGCCCGAGGAGTGGGTTAATAGGAGGCTCTGAACCCCAACACCCCCAGCAAACAGTCTTTACCTCAACAGAGCTGAAACTCATTAGCCTTATGGAATTCTCCTGAACAAATACTTTTCCTATCATATTGCAGTCAGTATGTAAATACATAGTAAATCATGCACTCACTGGGGCCCCCTATAACTTTTAGAGCACCCACAAAGGCCTGACATTTCATAATTACTTAATGAACCAGTCAGTAGAATATACATTATGAAGATTTATTGGCCTTTGTCAGGTTGCCCAAGGTATAAGCCATGGTGATTAGTGTATACTAGTGTATACAATTCACAATAAACAAGCTCTAAATAAATCAGTATAGTTAAGACTATGGCTACATTAAGAACTTGTCTTGTTTATCCAGACAACTTGTCAAGATCAGAAGGACAAGAAGACCACACTTGTAACCTTTGAAGCTGTCATTGCTCACAAAGCAACAATAATAAAAGGCTATATTATGGTTTGCTTGCAATTGTCATTGTTTACACACAAATGCTATTGTGACACCATCTCATCCTACTCGCCCAGCTACAAAAGAAGGCAAGATGGACGAGATGAACAATTTGTCCAAAATGCCAAAGGAGAGGTTCTGATTGGTCAAAACATTTTGTCCATCTTGTCCAACTTATTGAACGAGGAGTTCCAAATGCAATATACCAAGGTTATTTTTCAATGATAACAATCAGGGAAATTATGGGGTAAAAAAAGACTGAAATAAGAATATACAATAAAACTATGTAAAATTGACAAATGAAACTCTACAGTCGTGCCTGCCATCACTGAAAGTCTACCGAATGCTGTGCCAGTTTTCAAAAAACAACAGGAGTCCAACTCATTGTTTAGTACAACCTACGGGAATTCACACCATCCAAAGCCTACATGGTAATTGTTCAATACGGCCTAACCAATAAACCAACCTGACCCTAATCCAGTGGGATTAATACACTACAATCTATGTATTCCCTAGCCAGGGGGCTTTGCCGCACTGACCCCCATGGGATTTATACAATTGTATGAATACCTTGTGATATGTATACAACCTCTTTCTATTTGATATATTCACTAGCCAGGGGAAGCGACCCGAAATGGATGTGGGGATATAATTTTGCTCAATCAAATACTACACTTGGTAATATCATTTGCTTGCTTAAAACCATATACCTTTAAATGGCAAAACACCAAACTTTTCTTCACTTCCATCTACAGGCTGAATTGCTTGTTTTTTTAGCATTTGGGGTATACTTGATTGGCGCAAATATCATGCTGTGAAAGTTACTAATATGTTCTTCCGCGTGGCCACTATGTTGTCTTAACCCATACCTGCCAGGCCACACCTATAGCCATCATACCAAACTGATTAATCATGCTGGGTATGGAGTGGAAATAGTGCTGAGCAGAAAGTTCTGCTACACGTAGGAGACTCACGGGCCAAATGGCAGGAAGGCACCAGAGTCAGATGCCAAGAGATTTCTGATACTATCATATTGAGGGGATAAAAATGACCTGGAATCAATGCACTATTGAAAAATGAACATTTCTCACTGGCATATATCAAGGAAAGATCACCCAGCACTGTCAAAATTCCCAGAGGCAAAATCAAGCATGCTCAACCCCTTAATGACGAGTGAAGAAAACTAAAAAAAACACTACACTCTCGAGATCAATGGTGACGCGCCGACTTTGAACCCGGGAGTTCAACATATCAAGTTGAATCACTGGCTCATAGCACTTTGGCAACCAGAAGCAGTGTACAGCCGCACCCCACAGATCGTGCTGTTTGTTTTGATGCCTCACGGTGTGACCCGTTGAGAAGGGGTTAATGGAACAGTATTAAAAACGTTAAAAGCTATTAAAAAAGTATATAATAAAAAATGCAATAAATACAGGAATTAGGAAAAGCAGGTGTTCACAATTACAATTGGGCATTTCTTTCTAGTGCTTCGTATTACATGAAATTCTTGACAGATCGCAGTTATGAATTATGTGTAATGAGTCACGGTAGTGTTTATCATCAC